GTCATTCGGATGAAAGCGTTTGAAAAGCAAGCCGAAGTTCAAGACACCCTTTCCAACAAAATTGCAAAAATGGAAAGAAAAATAGATGAAATTGCACGGTATGCAAGAAAAACATATGAACTCAAACAGGAAGAAATTAAATTAATGAAAATGAAAGAAGAAAGGAAGAAGGAAGAAAATTTAGCAAAAAAAAGACATAAAGAAAAGATGGAAATAAAACTACAAATTTTAAAATTAAAAATGCAAAAAAAATAGGGTAAATAGGGTGCTTGTAAATAGATTGAATTTAGTTTATAGTTTATTTCATAAGAATGTGATGAATTTTTTGTTTATTTCCGAACCGAACTTAAAATTGAGATTTTTTTTAAGAAAATATGGGATGAGTTTATTTTTACTTTATTATTGTAAGTGACGGAATTGAATCTGTGATTTTTTTAATTTAATTTAAAAGCATGTAGTTTTTGTAATTTTTATATTTTTATTATCTATGTAATATTGAATTTCAAAGTATTGAATAAAATAAAGAATACAATATATTATTCACTGAAGTCGGTATAGTTTCATTTACATCAAAGCATCAGCAATTTGWCTTCTGCGGCCCTCTCCTGGTGAACCATTGCCATTTTCATTAATTGGTTCCAATGGTACAACGGCATCAGTTTCAGCCTCCTCCGGATCACCGATTCTAAATTTTTTACAAATGTTGTGCAAGGCGCAGCATATATTAATAACGGATATACAACATTCTCGCTTTTGCGTGCTTCTTATTAAAAATTTACTCCCTAGTTCCAGATTCTGCATGACGGAAAGGTGTTAATAAATAAGGGCTTAGGTATCCGGAGCCACCTGCAAATGTATTTTTGTTTTCAATATTCATATGTCAAGATTAAACTTGCGCAGTGGTCAAATAAATAATAATAAATAAAAAGAGTTCTGATCTCCCTTTTGATGCGCTGCCTCTAAACATGCCTTTAGAGAACTATTGTTCCATACGATCGAATCGTGTGTAGAACCAGCATATCTAGCATGCACAAAACGGATATTCATATCATGATCACAAGCCTGTAATAAAAATACAATAAATTTGTATACCAATTTTACTAAAAAATCCTTTTCTGTTTAGATAGAGGTGTTTGTTTGTGGTGGGAGCATAAATTGCAATATGGGTTCCATCGATGCAGCTTATTACATTTGGTATTCCCGATCTTGAATAAAATTTGCTCCTTGCCTGCTGCTTTTCTTCTTCACTCATATCTACGCTTACATGGGTACGACAAATTTCATTTTCCAAAATGGGTATGATCTCTTTTAAAATAAGGGAAACTGTTGGCTGGGCAAGTCCCAACTGAAATTCATTCCCTATAGCCTGTTGGTAACTGCCATGTGCAAAAAATCTGAGCGCGGCACACAATTTTAACATCGGCGTTATGGAAGACGACATCCGA